TAAATCACCATTAAAAAACTCATCTATTAGAAAACCCTGTTTTCAACATCACATTAACATTGAAGTTAAACAGTTGGCAGTGTCATTCAGGATCTGAAGTAGAAAAGTCTATTGCATCGCTTCAAAGTGGTGCTTGGTGAGGGTTTACTACATGGAAAAAAAAGTTTCTTGAATGCTTTCAATTTCCAAAGAACTTTTGCAAATGTTTGAATGAAATAAAATCCTCAACAACCCAGTTATCTCATGGTTCATGTTTATTCAAGGGTCTTTTAGTATTTGCTAGGAAACTAAGCAATAAGTCAGAAGCTCTAACAGGAGCAAGGACAGACACTTGTGCTTTGTCTTCTAAGAAGTCTGTGAAAACAGTCCAGATAGAAACTAAAATAAGAACTCCCTCACCCAGCTATGCCTGACACTGTCATCCTCCCCTACATATACAGCTAGAGCCATGGGGGTCCTCCCTATGAGCTCCCAGGCTCGTGTTTTAGACCCTGGGAGCTTTGGTTGGTTGGTATTGTTGCTCTCCTCATGGGGCCACAAACCCTTTCAGCTTTTTCAGTCTTCTCTCTCACTCCTCCATTGGGAACCCCATGATCAGCTTAATGGTTAGCTATGACCATCCGCCTCTGTATATTTCAGGCTCTGATAGACCTCTAAGGAGACAGCTATATCAGATTTCTGTCAGCATGCACTTCCTGGCATTCACATCAGTGTCTACCTTTCGTGACTGACTGCACAAGGGATGGATACCCAGGTGGAGCAGTCTCTGGACGGCCCCTCCTTCAGTTCCTGTCCTGCCCAATGTGGGGGAAATCGTGAATGGGGAGGTGGGAGTGGGAGGGTGGGTGGGGGCATATCCTCATAGAAGCAGGAGGAGGGGGGATGAGATAGGGAGTTCCTGGATTGGTGAAAAAGGGGATTAAATCTGAAATGTAAATAAAATACCAATAAAAAATTTTAAAAAGAAACTAAAATAAGAATATCAAATGATGAGGAGGATGGAAGATAAAGGCAAAATGGGAAATATGGGAGGGACACCTAACACTAAGGCTATTTGAAAACCATGTAGACATCTACTACTATAGAAGATTCCTAAAAGATACATGTACGAACTGAAATCTACAATAGTGGCTTGCCCTCAATATATACTTGGTAAAGTGATACAAATGCTATGGGGGTAACTGACAACTTTCTGATTAAATTTAACATACATGAGGTGGAATCCATATTTGACACTAGTAAAATGGCCAAGAACCCTAGACAAGATAAGTTGTGAACCTGCGGGAAAACCTAATACTATTGTTCTGCTAAAGGATCACAGCAGAATAATATCATAAAATGACTCCCAATGATATTCTGCTATACCCATAGATAAGTGCCTCACTCAGCATTCATCAGAGAAGCTTCTTGCAATAAATGCCAACCAGGACAGAGACCCATAACTAGACAATGTGCAGAAAGAGTAAGACTTTGGAGGACTCAGTTCTTAATGGTCTTCATCAAAGCCCTCTTCCACTAAAGGCTCAGTGATCTATGTGGAAAAGGAGGCAGAAAGATTTTAAAAGCCACAACTAATAGATGAATTTAAGGGAACAGTGTATTCGAGACTAAACAGGACTGATGAACACATGAACTCACAGAGACTGTGGCAGCATGCATAAGGTCTGTACAGATACAGGCTAGGCAGGGTCACAGAATTGAGATCGAGAGGTGGCCATGGGAGCCCACCTTTAACCAAGAAGCATATGTATTGACATTTGCTTGAAAAAGAAAGAAGTAGTTTTCTTTCCTTCACTGGTTATATAAACTATAACTCAGAGCAAGCTCCAGGGCCAGGAGTAGTTGGCTAGTACAAAGTAAATTGAATGGTATTTTTGAGACTTTTTCTCATTCTTCTTTCATAGAGCATACTTTTTTTTTATCTCATTGGTCTTTTTTCTTTTGATTTTTGTTTTTGTGTTTTTGTCGCGTGTGCGAGAGGGAGAGTGTGTGTATGTATGTGTTTCTTCCTTGTTTATTGTTGTTTTTGTTGGATTTTTAGAGAGAAAGAACATAAAATTGGATGGGTATAAAAGTAGGGGAGGTTCTGGAAGGACTTAGGGTAAGGGAAAACACATCAAATATATCGTATGAAAAAAATTTCAATTAAAAATGTTAAAAATAAGAAAGAAAAGGAAAGACTCAGTTTCCCTTGAAGGAACTTTATTATTACCTATGGTGGGGAGGGGGTAGCACTGATGAATGTCGGCAGTATCAGTGAAAATTTCAAAATGCATCCTGGAGTGAGATCTGGAGCACAGAGCCACTCCTCCAGACCTGATTCATTGAATCAAGATCCAGCCTTTATAGAGCCAAAATACTAAAGCTAAGCTCTTGGCAGAGAATTCTCTGTATCACCCAGTTACCTACTCTGGTGCATAGGTTTGCCTTCAGGGGTTACTACCAAAAATCCAAGACCAGAGGATCTTGTAAGGTAAGTTTCCTGTCAGCTAAGATTGACTGCAGGTATGTTTGGAACAAATCCTACACAGCTGCTCTAAGAATCACTGAAAGGACCTAAGGCAAGAGAGGACTATAGAAAGATGGCAGAATTTGGAAATTTCACACTTTTTGAACTCTAAGTTATCTGATCCCTTACTTTCTAATCTCTACTAAGGTATGGTAGCTGGAGAAATTACTGGAGCATTAATGTCCTATCTTTTTGGTTATTGTTAGAAGCTACACATCTGTGCTGGTATCTCCTGCTGTCAAAATAATCTGAAATATGCATGAGAAACCAAGCTCTTCTTAATTTTTGAACTCTAAGTATTTTTGGTAGAAGCCATCAAGAGTTGATTAATTCTTCTGACATTGCCTACTTACATCACATCCAGGCTCACTCTGTTATACCTTTATATGCCCATGGGCGTGCTAAAGCAAGCTCTGGCAAGCTTTTCCCCCACTGACCACCAGATTCTGTGGAATGCCAGAGACCGGTCACTCAGAACACTTCACCCTATAGGCTGAAACTGAATAATCAGCTACTACTTGGTTATGAGGACCTGAAAAGGAATACTGTGACCTCACAAAGGGCATCAGAGGGAGGAAGAAGTTGCCTCTCAAGTTACTCCAGTGGACAAATTAACCTCTTCAGCTCTGTAGGCTGGCAACCCACCCCCAACAGGCACTTGCATATGGTCCTTTCCCTGCACACCCACTAAAGAGACATTAAAAAGCTCTCAGAATGGTCCTGTAATGGGACTCCCAAACTCTCTCCAATGCTTGTTGCTAACACACACACACACACACACACACACACACACACACACACACACAAACTATTTCATTCATAATAATTGTCATGTGCATTCTTACAGAAGAAAAATAGTTACAAATTTCTTTGTTTTGCTTGGGAAGTGATCAGATCTGGTTGGTAATTGCCTGCCTGATCAAGAGCCATTTCCTTCATGGTTAACCAAACATCAGCTCCACTCAGCTGGGCTCGTTTTAAATATCACCAAAAGTGAATAGCTCCAATTACAACAGGAAACACATTTTCCAACATGAAACAAGGACCAGAAACAGATTTGTCCATGTCTCAAAATGCTCATCAAGAATAGGCAGGCATGTTATTCCTTTATCCTGCGCACCCTCCATCCCTTGCTCCCATATACCCACACACTCAGCAACACACACACACACACACACATTTTTAGAAATTGTGAAAACACTAAAAGAATCTTGTTTCTGATTTCCCTGTGAAAAATTGGGTGAAATTTCTTTTTTACAGTGATATTTTCTGTTTTAAAGTTGAAAAAAATCAAAGGAAAGTCATAAGCAGGAAGCAATGTTTCTCTTCTACTTTGCTTGGGGAAAAGAGAATAAACATCAGAAAATTACTTTAGAAACTATCACACACCTCTTTAGATATTTATTGCAAAGATTTTTTGGAAATTTCAAGAATTAGGGCTTCTATTTAGAGAATTTTCATACACGCTCACAATTTGGGGTCTAACTTTGAGAAAACTATGACTCACTGCCCTCTTTCGTCACTAGATCCCATTTAAGGACCACACTTCTGCATTATTCAGGGATTTCATACCCTGTCAAGTGGTACAGAATGTTGCTGTGTTCTAGTCAGATGCCAGACAACAGAAGTTATCCTCCCTCCTTGAAAAGCATGTTGCCTCCAGTAGTAGAAAAAAATAAAAGGAAAAGTGCTCAAGCTTTGTTCCAATTAACCTATGCCAATCATTGATCTGTTTTCTTGGGGGAACCTCTCCAAGTGAAAGATAACATTTTTGAAGTCACTGTGGATCACTCTGATTAAGGTCATATTCCTTTATAATTCTCTCTGAGCATTCCTGAGATGATAAATCTGAAAAACAAAAATAATAAAATAAAACACGCTTTGAAATATATTAAAAGACCAAGTTACCATTTTGATGTATGATTCTGGGGACCGGAAGACTAAACAGGCCATGAGAGTATCCACACTGTCCAGGTCATGGGACTTACCAGACAACCTCCTTGGGCTCATTGTGTTTAAGTTGCTTACTAAGCCATGAGGATGAGGGTGTGTGTGGAGTGGGAGCTTACCTGTCAAGTTGCTAAACTGTTGTTGGTTGGGGGCTTAAAAGAGATTTTCCAACTGTGGATGCCTCTGGGATAGAAATGAGAATGTTGCACTTTAAAGCCAATCCTCATCTTCTGTTTGTTCAGTCATTGCAAGACATTCCCTCTCCCTTACCATTCCCTCTAGTATGCCAACCTAAAGCTCAGACAAGGACTCAGCCAGGCAAGGAGGCAAAGGGAGACACAGAGACGATGAGGTCCCTCCGGTACCTCCAACGCCCTGAAGGCTAAAATCATGCCATTGTGCTTTCATGGCTGGCCTTGAGTCAAAGCAGGTTAAAAATTGCATTGAAGAAGGTGCCAGCAGGGTCAGTTCTAAGAAGTAACAAGTTTTGCCCCTCCCACTGCTGGCAAAATCTTCAAGTTCTCTTGTGCAGTCAGTTCTCTTGTGTTTCATTCCTAGGCTGAGTGACCTCTGGGCTTCCAGAAGACCTAGTGTGGGCATCCTTGAAGTGGAAGAGCTCAGCTTGAGAGTCATATGCTGTTACCATTATGGACAGAGAGATACCCACTGCTGCTTCTAGCCTACCAGGTAAATGCCCCCATCTTTCTGGCGAGTCTGTTGCTTTTCTATGCATGCCTTCTGCAAATGTGTTACTATAGCCTCTGTCACTTCTCTTAGATATCATTAGTCACATCCTTCAGATTAGGACGATTCAGTTGAAGTCAAATGTTTTGGTGTCATACTCCTTCACCTGGAAACTCTGGCAGAGATCCTGAAACCACTACGTTTTAGAGCACCAGTTTCCAACCTGTGGGTAGCAAGTCCCTTGACAAACCTTTCTCCCCAAACATATTTACATTAGGATTCATGACAGTAGCAAAATGACAGTTTTGTAATACCAATGAAAATAATGTTATGGTTTGGGATCACCACAACATGAGGAACTGCATTAAAGGTCACAACATTAGGAAATTTGAGAACCACTCCTCTGGAGTTTGAAATGTAATGAGTGCTCCTCAAAATCAATGAAGACTAAACCTAGCTTGTCTGTTGACAGAATGTAATATCCAAAATAGCAGCACAGTCCTGCCTCTTAGCTAAGACAAAAGGCTCTGATGCAGATGAGATTATGCCTCCGTTAACTTAGGATTGACAAGGTAAGTTTACAGAACCTGGGAGTAAAAACAGATACTTGTGCCTAGATGAAAAGTGAAAGCGGTGGCTATCATGGAAGACTGTTAGCTGAGTGGGTAATATTGGGAGGTGACCATGGCTGAAGTCAATGAGCACTGATGCCTTCTTTACAGGCTCTTCTCTAAGGATCTCCTGCTTGCTGTTTTTTTCTTCTTCTTCCCTAAGCCTCTTTGTACTCACTTGAGCCCACAAGGGGCAGCAGAGTTTGTCAAAGGATATCTTTTACTTGTTCCTGTTTTCTCTAAAGAACTTCTGTTCAGATACAGTAGTTGTAACACACACAGACACATACTCATCTATCCCCGCCACACAAGAATGAACACCATATACTCCTTCCTTGAGATTCATAAAAGGTACTACAGAAAATAGTTAATAGTGAAAAGAATATTACAGAGGTTACTGTATATTCTTTGCAATGCATCTCTTCGCTTCCAGTTCTTCCACCTCTTATTGAAAGAGTCAAGGGTATAAAGAACAAGAAGAAAAAGAGAAATATGGAAAACTAAAATTAAAGTATGTTAGAGGAAAGACAGGAGAGAGACAGAGACAAAGAGAGACAGAAAGACAAAGAGAGAGAGAACAATACAGGGGAAAATAAATGAGAGAAAGCTAAAAATTAAGAGACATAAAGAAACACAAACTAGAAAACTTAAATATAGTAACAAATAACAGAGATAAAGAAAAATAAACATATAGAAACAGAAAGCAATGATGAGGGACAAAGAAGTGGAGGAGAGACCCTCTGAGCATTCTGTCAGTGAGTACTGCATCCTTAAGGCTGCTTTCTTGTTTCTGGAGAACTTGAAAAAAAATAAACTAGAAGTCTTCAAACTTCACATTTTGTAAAATATATATTGTGCTGTCTTCAGACACACCAGAAGAAAGCATCGGATCTCATTATAGATGATTGTGAGCCACCATGTGGTTGCTGGGAATTGAACTCAGGATCTCTGGAAGAGCAGTCATTGTTCTTAACCTCTGAGTAATCTCTCCAGCCCCTACCATCACATATTTTTTTTTAAAAAAATGGTTTCATCTTTGGGCTGGATGCAAAGATGGTTCAGCAGTTAAGAGTACTGGCTGCTCTTCCAAAGGTCCTGAGTCCAATTCCCAGCAACCACATGATGGCTCACAACCATCTGTAATGGGATCTGATGCCCTCTTCTGGTATGAGAGGTAGATAAAATTTACAGCCAAGAAAATAAAATCATCATGGAAGAAAATGCTTATAGCACTTTACAGATGCCGTCACACAAAAAAAATCTGTGGTAATTTTCACAGCATACAGAGACACAAACACAAATAACTATTCAGAAATTTTCTTCTAGCAGAAAAAGTAAAAGAATAGAATAGTAGAGAATATCAAGAGATATTCTCTAGTCAGGGTTGGAGGAATGACTGTCTCAGCCATTAAGGCGCAACTTTTGTTCTTTCAGAGGACTTGAATTCTATTCTCAGGATCCACATCCATTCCATTGACTTAACTCCACTCTAAGGGATTCAACCTCCTCTTCTAGATGTTACAAGCACCTGCTCTCACATGCAGGCACCTACACACAGATACACATACTTTTAACAAAAACAAAAACAATAATATTAGACCCTTTTAAAACAAATACTCTAGTTAAAGAGGCAAGGACAGATGTCAAACAGATGGCTGTTAGATGAGGAGGGAATGAAAACGTATATGCCTGCCAGTGAAAACTACTGAAAGTTTAACAGCCATAATACACATGCAGAGGACCTGGTGCAGACCCATGCAGGTCCCGTGCTTGCTGCTTCAGTCTCTATGATTTCATATGAGCTTTGCTCAGTTTATTTAGGGAGACATGCTCTCCTGTTGTCCTTCATCTCTGGCTCATACACTCTTTCTGCCACCTCTTCTTCAGGATTCCCTGAGCTTTGAGGGGAGGGATTTGATGGAAACATCTAATTTAGAGTTGTCTGTTCAAAGGTATATATTATAGCTTTCCATTTAGTATATTTATGGGACTTCTGTGTGTGAATGAGTGGGTCTCTGATTCTTGTGCCTTCTCTTGAGCTTTGTTCCTTTCTGCTGAGTTGCCTTGTCATACTTCAATGTGATGGTTTTTTGTTTTGTTTCAGTAGTTCCTATAATATAATTCTCCATATTTACCTTTATTGTTTTATTACTGATATTTGTGGTACCTGGGCTATCCTTTGGTTAAAAGGTATGTGAAATACAGTTATAAAAGAATGTTTTCACTTAGCTTTAGGGAAATGAAACAGATCATCACAAAACCTTCAAGTAATTCATTTTGCAAAAACGTGGCATATTCCTTTTTAAGTGACCCACGCTGGCCATATTTTTATATTCTTGCAATTTTGTTGATTTGCTTATTTGCTTAAGTGCTGGGGATTGAAGACAGAGCCCTGTACATGCTAAGACACAAGCTTTGACATGTTGTATTAATAACATAATTGAACATAGTGATGAAATACAAGGTCATGTTTTGATACATGTACACAATCAGCATATATTAGCATAATAGTGCCAATAGAGCAACAAATGGTAACATACAATATATAAATTTGGCTTGTTTGATGTTTTCATGAGTGATGACTGAAAAATGTAAGACACACAGTTATTAATTATGTATGCCATGACTGCTTCTGAAGAAACCGAAGTGAATTGACAATATCTATTCTGGAAGTTACTCAAGTCACTATATAATAGGGCTATACTGTATGTTCATTTTATTCTTTTGTCTTATCTCTTGTCTTCATCAGAAATTATGCAAGAATAAAATTATCCTTAGAGTTGTGAGGACAAAACTGACAACAAGAAACTGAGAAAATCTAGTAGCTTTAAGTCATGAGTTAACTGGAAAAAGAATTCTATAGCTTTGAGTATGATAAAAATAATGAGCCTAATCCTAATGTTCTATTATCCTAAGAAGATCTTCAGTATTTGACAGTAATAAAATATAATTAAATTTAATAAAATAACGTTTCCTTCAGCTAATGTTTCCATCCCTCCCCTAGAGAAGAACACAACTAGTAAAGATAAGAATTCATTTCCCTTCTCTTTGTTCTCCAATTCTCCTTAGGAATGATGTTAACAATGTTTGCCATATATAACTCATGTGCTAGCCTAACTCAATTGTTATATTGATAAGTTCACAGAACTTAAGAGAACATACCAAATTAATGCAAACCAGAAATTGGAGGATCCACTTCAAGACTTCATTTAATATTTGTTATGGTAGTTTCCTCAAGTCCCTGAAGTTAGAACACAGTTATATGTTAATGGATTATCATTTACAAATTCATATAATTATGTGAGACTATGTACTTGCATTGCATTGATAGAATACCAAAAATATTATTACAAAAGCAAAGTTAATAAAATCAAAGTATGTGTTCTACTAAGCATATTTATCATGGATTTTTGAAATCCAAATGCAATATTTTTGTTTCATTCATTAATTTTAACTATTTTAAAAGTTCTCAATTTAAGAAGGGTTAGTCTTAACACATTTAAACTTTTGAATTTTAATATAAGATTTCGTCAAAAGTTAGGCATTGGCCCGATTCTTTTCTTTTTCTAGGATGTAGACTCAAAGGATGTACACATGTGTGGCTGATACAAAAATTAACATGTTCTTGAAATTAACTTTTCTTACCTCTATAATGTTGAAAACAGTTGTGAACCCTGATCCAGGCATTGTGCTAAGTGGTTTGTACAAATTATTGTGCTTGATCTTCTCATGTATCTATTCTCTTATAGAAACATGCTCTCTGATGACAGTATTATAGGCAAAAGCTTACAAGTCTAGTGGAAACTTTAGTTTAATGCCAACCAAAAGACTTTTGTAAGCCAATCAGAAGGTAGTGCAGCCAGACTTTGAACTAGATCAATGTGAATCCAAGATCTGTCTTCTTACTGCTTTAGCTTTATCCGTTTTTATTACCATAATCCTGGGAGATCATGTAGAAACTCAGATTACTCATCTAAGTTTCTAGCTTGTATTGGAGGTTACAATCCTCAGAGATTCAATAGTTCATGATATCCCTATCCACAAAGCTACTTTTGTTGTAAAAGAAAGAGGAAAGGAAAGCCTAGATATCAAGTTGATCTTCCAGAAACCTTCTCAATGTGAATGTAATTTTTCAGGATTTCTTCTGTCCATATGTGATGCAAATTAATTTAACACTTGCATAACAAACAAGGATGATTTCCCATTTCAGGAAATGTAGCAGGCTCAGGAAATGTTAAGTTCAGGTATGCAAATGATATGAGGAGGCAGACCTATCTGGCAGTAAAGAGGAAGAACTTACATTTGACTCTCATTCAGTAAGGTTGTATATACATAAACCATCTTAATTTTGGGGAGTGAATGAAAGAGTGGGAAGATCAAGAAAGAATAACAATTAAAGGAACCAATCTCCATTATGAAGTTGTTTGTGTTTCTGCCAATAAGTAACAATAGGTGTTCAGTCAGGCTCCAAATTCTAATTTTATTTGTATGAGAATAGAGACAGGCACACACATGACAGAGTTGAAATATCTCCACGGTTAGGTTTGGTATCAACATTTTAATAAGTACTGCAGAACCTAGGATACTTTTTATTCTAGGTAGATTGAGTCCCTTTAGACTATGTTTTTTTCATATACTTACAGTTCCCTAGAAGCAGTGTTTTTATACTTTGTGTCATAAAGCTTTAATAATGTACCTATTTATAGTCATTAATAATATATTATGTTTGGTAGATGTACAAATTACTTTTCTATAATTTTAAATAACAATATACATATTCAAGATGAATCATAATAACTCCTATGCTTTTTAATGCATATTTAAGTCTCCAATCTTCTTTTTATATTTTTCACTTCCACACCATGACAAAAAATCTATTTTGAAGGATTATATATGTTTCTGGATTAAACCTACAGTCTGCAGAAAGAAGACTTCTGGGTATAGATAGGGTAAACATAGTGAATTGTCCCAAAAGCCTCATTCCCCACCCCCCATCCCTGTGCACAGCAACTCAATACATGAACAACTGTACAGGTTGCAAACCTGCTTCTGCCATGTTTATTCTTGTAAACACAACATAACAAGAATTACTAGCACACTGGTATAGCAAACTTGCGCAGAAGCAGAGCTACTTTTTTTTCTCAGTGTAATGTCATCAGATAGTTACTAAAACTAGAATAGGAAAGGTTTAGGTTACACAAATAAGAACGTTCTGGATGACTAAATTACTTGCATATAATAAATATTAAGGAAGACATTTCTTATAATACAGGAATTTATATTCCAAGATATGCTATTTCCTTGGTTAAAGAAAATCATATCAGGGTAGACAGCATGAAATACTAGAGCCAACATTGTAACAAACAACCTTTACCTAACTCTTATAGAAATCTTTCCAAAAATCTACTAAGCAAAGCTTCCCCTGTCTTTCCCTGTCCTGTGTTTCCTAATATATATATTTAAAACAAATATTTTGCAGATGAAGAAAGAAATATCCATGAATTGTGGCAAAGATTGTATCCAACTCTGTTTATGTTTTCAACCCAAGTGCTTTGTACACTGGAATTCTCCTTAACTTGTCAGCTTTAATCTGCATCCCTAGGATAAATGGAGTGTTTTCCCATTTCTATATTGAAAAATCTAGGTTTGCAGTTATATAGTTAAAATTGAAAAAAATGCTGTGAAGGTCTTTCATTCTTAAACCCCAATATTGAGATATTGTAAGTTCATTCAAACTCAATTCTATTGTAACTAATGTTGCATTGACTTTCAATATCTTTGACTAAATATATCAAAGGAGAACAGGCAAACATTTCCTAAAATTTGCAAATGTGCAAGAGTCTAAGAGTTTTTGATGTCCTACTTCTGATGAAATGTGAGTGAGCAAATGGCAACCACACAGGCAAACATGTCTCATATTTGCGGACAACAGTATTCCTTGGAAATGATAAGGATAGTTTCTTCTGAGTACAATGTTGTTAATTTTAAAGACAAGCAAAAGCCAACCCATGAAGATATGTCAGAAGACACTGAAACTCAATAGTTCCGAACTTACAGTTTTGAACACATAGTTGGGAGCCAAGGCTTTGACTTACTGCCAATAACCCTCTAGACCTTAGGCTGTGTTTTCATATTGGTTGTGTGAATTTGAAGAGGGTATGAAAGTCCTGCAGAAGCAGGTTGGCATTAATATTTGACTGTAGTCTTGGGATTCTCTTGACACTGCTTGGGCTTTCCCCTTAAGCAAAAGAGGTTATGTGGGCATATTTACCTACATTACCAGTTTAAGGCCTTAACTACAAAGTCCTGAAAGCTTGAACTCTCTTCTGGGTTTCCAGTGAGGTTACTGGAGAGGAAAAAATAATCCTAGATCCATCTTTTTTGAGACTAGTTAAGTAATAGTTGCTCTTTCTTGGAAAATTGGCCCCTCGTGTGCAATTGTTTCACATATCTTAGACTTTTAAATTTTAATGTAAAGCAGTAACCTTGTGTCTCCTCCTTGTCTTCCCTCCTGCCTATCTGGAGCCCCATTCCAAGCACCCCCAGCCCCTCCTCCCTATCAGACTCTGAAGTGTCACTCAGAGTGCTTTCTTACTTTCAACAGCTTCCAAAATAAACAGTGGAGGTTGTGACCGACTGGGCAGTCACTCAGTTGGATACAACAGTATCTCCCAATCACTTTGGCCGCCTTTGATGGCAGGTCTGCTTCCTAAAAGTCCAGCATTTGCCAATCGCTGGCTTCTGGCAGGTCTCAGAATCAAGGATTTGAGGACTGATGGTACACATGTGCCCACTGAGAGGGAGGAGAACGAAGAAAAAAAGGCGGGGTGGGGGGAGAGACTACACCTCATAGGATTTCGACTCAAGTTTAATCTTTATTCTCTTTTATTTTGTCTATTTAAATAAAAATATATTCATATAGAACAGAGCAGGAGATTTTTCTGTTGTCGAGTGCGGATCCAAAAGTTGGTTTTTAGATTTAAGACTACTTCTGTGAGCTTTTCCTCCCATGCCTCTCATCTGCGCCCTCCCTCTCCCCCTCCCTCCCCAGCCCAGCTCAGGTTGAAACTTTGCAGCACGCATTCACTTCTTCCCCTCCAGGGATGGCTCTGAGCTCTCGAGCGCACGCCTTCTCCGTGGAGGCCTTGATGGGGAGACCCAGCAAAAGAAAAGCTCAAGACCCAAGAGAGGAGATGCAGCCTGAACTGCAGGAGGAGCGGTTCATAGAGGAAGGGGAGGAGATACTGAGGAGCCCTTCTGGGGACAGTCAGCAGCCCGGTAAGTACACTCAAGTAGCCCGTACCCTGAGCACTTCTCTCCTGCGCGCGCTGGCTGAATCGGATCTTCTTCCTTCGCCTGTTCTTTGCGCAGCAGTAAGGATGTTCTGGCATAGCCAGCCCCACAAGTCGGGTTGTGGATTGTGTAACACATTAGCCACTTGACTTTAGGACAAATTTCAGAGAGTCTGAATTTCACTGAAGTGCTGTGGTTTGTTTGCAATGAAAAGGAGGGTCCCACTTGATTTTAGAGGAGTGATTTACACACCTCTTGCAAAATCCTGAGTCAAATTTGGCTGTTCTCGGTAAGAAGCAGGGTGTCCCCCAAAAGCTCAAGGAAATCTACCTTTAGATTCAGTTTAAAGCAAGCTGGGGCAGAGAGAATTTTAAGTATCCCACCTTTCATGAGATATAAGTTGGGCCCCCCACCTCTCTTCATTATGAAATCACAAAGGGTTTTGTGGGGAACTTATATGTCAGACTTCCTGGGGAGTGGGGTGGGGAGAAAGTATCTATTAGTTCAAAGATAGTCTCCTAATGCTTGTAACTTCCCAAACTCTCAAATTCTGTCTAGCAGAAAAGAGACCCAAGACAGAATCTTCAAAAACTCTTTTCTCCTGCTCTGACAACGAGAACAACAGCCAAGAAAGTCTGCAAGAAGAAAGTATTATCCAAGTGGAGCTTCAGGGATCTGACCTGTGGAAGAGATTCCACGACATTGGCACTGAGATGATCATTACCAAGGCGGGCAGGTTCGTTAAGCTGGGCCAGTGACTTCCCTGAATCACACACAGTAGGCACTTAAGGAGGAGAATCCAGTTTTTGTAATGTGAAGCTCCTCCCCCTTCCCATTCCTTGGCAGATGTTAGAAAGCCACGGACTACTCACTCTATTGCTCTGGGAAGTATTTAGCTTCATTAAATGGTCTACTCCTGTTTTCTGATACATCCTTACTCCAAGTACTCACTCTCCCAATTCCTGCCTGTGTACTGTATGCCAAAATCCAGACCTGTATAGGCAGGAAAGTGCCAGATGTCCCTCCAACTAATTACTGTTGCGGCCAACTTCTCAGTGCAAGCCTAGTGAATACTATCCCATCCACCAACCTCCAGCATACCATCCCTGGCTCACTCCACCAGGAAGTCAGCCTTTCCTCAAGCTAACCCTTCAGTATGGGGCAGCTTCCTAACTAGTCTTCATAATTTCAACCATTTACAAATCTACCTCACATACTCTTCTTCTAAATACAGGAAAGAAACAAAACTTCTCCTGTCCTACTTTCTTATAATTTTAATATCATGTGAGAGGTCATGGATGGAGACTTATCAGAAAGATATTCTGCACCACTAGGAAATCTCAGACTTGTTAAATCAACCATCTTTTTCTTACATAACAAATGTCATTCCCTGAGCCCATCATGGAAAGGGAGGAATACTGACTTTATCTGTCCACAACTCATCTTCCCTCACAACAGCTCTAATATAGCCCATCGCAGGTTCTAGTTTCTATCTGAACCCTATTTTTTCCCACAGACGTATGTTTCCTTCTGTTCGGATCAAGGTGAAAGGGATGGACCCTGTGAAGCAGTACTATGTGATTTTGGACGTGGTACCGGTGGATTCCAAACGTTATAGGTAACTTGGTAGATATAGGGATTTTCCAGTTTACTTTGCTAAGGTCCAAATGGACTGAGGGCACAGATTCAGAGCATGGTCTTGCAGCTTGACACTTGACAGCAGGTTTTTTTTTTTTAAGTATACTTAGTGAGGAGAGATGATTGCTCATCCTTTGACTTTGATAGATAGCTGAATTTTCTCATTTGAATCTGGGTTCAAAGTGAAGGAAGGGCTGGTCTTTTCTATTCCCTCCTCCTGGAGATCGGTGTTAAATGGCTCTGTATTGTACCTTCTGCCTACCCACTCTTTGTGCCTTAGATATGTAAATTGCGGTTGATTTGGACTCTGGCATCCTGGAGGCAAGCAATTTGAAAAAAAAATCGGGAGAAAAGCCGTAGATTCAAGTGGAACCTGGCTTCTGGGAACAGACTGTAATCTGGTCAGGTTCTCAAATGCTGCCGTGATTTGCTCCAACATAGTGGTAAGGGTCCTAGGGCCAGGGCTAGGTTTTCGCCCATCTGTTGTCCCTCTTTTAGATTTTTACCTGAAAGGATGGCAGGATTCAGAAGTGCCGGGATTGAAGCCCTTAATTAGGCTGGATCAAATATGTACAAACTGTTCTAAAGATCAGAACTTTTGAGCTAGCAGTTTAAGAAACTCTGTCCTTCTGACGCTTTGACTTGGAACTCTGAAAGTGAAGGGGAGGGTGAGGCGAAAACAGCCCAAAGTAAGCTGTGTGCAGTCAACCTTGGATGCCTGTGGTGCCTGTTCCTAGCAGGGGAGCCGATCTAGCTTCATAGCTGCTTGCTTCTCAAGGCAAGAAAGAGCAACTCACCAGCAAGCTGGAACCTCCTCAGTGGGGAAACAGAAGCAGCTGCTTTCTTTTCGCATTGTACTGGGGCTGGTTTTGGTAGGGGATGCTGAGCAAAACACACTTTGAGATCGGAAACAGTTCAGAAAAATCAGCCTGGAGGACGCACGGGCGGGGTTTCTTTGGAGTTTTCTGCTGTGAAGTTTAATTGGCAAAGTGTTTCCTAGCAAAAAAACGGGCTTTGACTAAAACTATTAAGTGTGGGGAGGACAGACTTAGTACTTCACCTCTGTTTCTTCGCGCTTCTTGCTTGCTTGTCATTCATGGATTTTTTAGGCATTGCTACGGTGGGAAAATTAGATTGATTCCTGCTCCAGTTTCTATGAAGAAATACCGGACTCAGATATCCCACGCCATTTTTACTCTCCAGGACATTTCACTGCATTTTGATGACATATGCATATTTACTGCTTGTTTGTTAGTTCGTTGATTCATTTGTTTATGTGTTGCCATTGAACACTCTTTGAAAATGAAATTAGATAATCTGTTTATTTACTAGCTTTTGGGATAAGCGTTTTAATCTTTGGTAAGGCTCTTAGGTGGAGAAGTCTCCCATCCTTCTTCTTTATGCTGGCTGAGCCTAAAGCCACACTTCACTCATTTTTTTATTCCCTCAGGTATGTGTATCACAGTTCACAGTGGATGGTAGCTGGAAATACTGACCATTCATGCATCACTCCCAGATTCTATGTCCACCCGGACTCCCCTTGCTCAGGAGAAAATTGGATGCGTCAAATCATCTCTTTTGATCGAGTGAAACTTACCAACAACGAGATGGATGACAAGGGCCATGTAAGTGAGCACAATGTTTCTCCTAGAGGAGGTAAGTGCCAAGGCTTCTGGCCAGAGGGAGTCCTCAAGAGGTCACTTTTCTTTGTAAGTCTTGAATGTTTTGGGAGCAAAGCTCTTGGATTTGTAAGTCATAGACCACAAAGGGCTCCTGTAACCTGAGTGCTGAACTCCAGAAGGACTGACTGCAGGGAGCTTAAGGGCCCAAAGACCCCAAGGAAGAGAGCAATTTAAGCTAGAGAGAGTGTGTCCTACCCTGGAGAATGAGAGGGAACACTTCACAGGGCTGTCTGGCTTCCTAGGTAACACTATGGGCGTCTGCTTTCCTTAGAGTCCACACATTTGTTGCATGGGTACCTTTGATGTGTTGGGGGTTAAAGGGAGCAAGTGAGAAGCCAGGCTGGAAGTTTCTATAACCTGCTGCCACGGGTATCAGCTGCTTACTTTCAGGTTTTCTGGAATTTTTTAAAACTTTGTATTGATCGTTTGTGAGATTTACATCATGCACCCACATAATGCTTATCTTCCAGTCACTTCATATCCGCCCTTTGTTCTTGCAGTCTTCCTCCCCCAAATAAAACACACAAGCAAACATCAACAGCAAAAACAAAAAAAACAAAGCATAGCAAACATCTCATCGTGGAAGCTGTAATTTGTTCAACAGTTTATCCCTCTGTCCATGCATCTACACTTGCAAATGTTCATTGCAGTGAGTCATTGCTCTGGTTCCAGATCTCTGGCTTCTGTGACACGGATAAGGATTCAATATTGATGATGTTACAGAAGCCAGAGGTTTCCTAGATCCTGAGTCTTCTCCCTAGGCATACTCCTTGGGCCCTGTCAATCTAGTCTTGTGCCAGCCACAAAAGAAGAAAAAGACCAGAATTAGGAGGTGTGGAATATCAGATTTCTGGCAATATCTGAGAACATCAGTTACTGCCCAGAGAGATACTATCAGTTGATTGGGTCCTCATGACACTTCCACATCACGTGGTCATCCACATTTGGAAGCAGGAAAGGCTGGATTCGTAGTTTGCTCCATAGAGTCAGTGTAACTGTGGTGCCTTCCTCTGGAAAACCTTCAGCCAGGAAGGGTTCTGTTGGGGGCCAAAGTCTACAAAAAAGTCCTTCTTGGCATGCATATATCTAGTTTTTTGGTGTGTCTTCACTGGCGGTTATTATAAACTGGGGATGGTGTTGGGGAGAAGTAGGTGTTTAAGATGGCATTTAACCATTTCTTCCTCAGATCATTCTTCAGTCCATGCATAAGTACAAGCCTCGTGTGCATGTGGTGGAGCAGGACAGCAGGATTGATCTGTCTCTGATTCAGTCATTTCCTACTGAAGGAGTTAAAACATTCTCCTTTAAAGAAACTGAATTCACTACTGTGACAGCTTACCAAAACCAACAGGTAAAGCTGTCTAGATCCCAGTAAGTGGAAGTGGCCTCACTGATATATTGGGATAGAAGCAAGAGCAATGTATGGGTTACATTTTAAACAACAGAGAAAAATATCATGGTTTTATTTTATTTTCCAGTCATAATTGATAGAAAGTTGTGTGGTTCTTGTATTAAATAGGAGATCAGGACAAAAGGGACAAGTAGGCAAAATAGAAAATTGTTTTAATTCTGATTTATCTATGTGCTCACATTTATTTAAAGTACCCCATTATAGAGGCAGCATTGTTGCTAAGAAGATAGGCTACATTTTTCTCTTTGTCTTTCTTTTGAATTCATAGATTACCAAACTGAAAATAGACAGGAATCCTTTTGCCAAAGGATTTAGAGATCCTGGAAGAAACAGGTATGTAACATGGCAATCAAATTTAATATTTTTGTCAAATTTAATATTTATGTAGCCCCTTTAATAACTACTAAAAATAATAAGTAAATAGAATTGCAATCAGGCCATATTTATATAGTTCTTTTATGAGTATTAAAGATAGGGTACCTGTGAATCAGAGACTCCGAAGCTTACACTTTGACAGGTAGGAAAATAATCCCATGTTTGGATCCCAAACCATGCCTTCTTATACTATCCTTCCTACCCAGTGTTAAGATGTTGTATACTATAGATTTGTGGAGATTATAGAAATGTACTAAGACTCTAGCTACTGGTGTGGATTTTACAGACATTTATGAGACTCTTACTAATAATTCAGATGATCACTCAAAAAGTATAACAAGTTTATATGAATTATTATATTCACAAAGTGTTTTCTGGCATTACTAAATAATAAATATCTCTGTTTTTAGGGGTGTATTGGATGGATTTTTAGAGACCTACCCATGGAGACCTTCTTTCACTATGGATCTCAAAACTTTTGTCACAGACACACAAAGTAAGAAAACCTTTTAACTTTCTGTTTTATTTTTACATCTTATTGCAGTAACAAAAGGCATAACTCTTAAACCAAATCCTACTCAAGGGGATAACTATATGCCTGAAAAAAAGCAATATATATTTTTTATGTGGGAAAGTAAGTACCAAAGACAGACACAAACTAAAACTTAAGGGAGATAGTGAAGTAATGTTGCAGGTGGATATATTGGTTATCTCACTGAATTATCTTACACATGTATCATGATATCATATATCATACATGGATTCCACAGTATCTCATTCCTTTATATGAAGAATCTAGGTTATTTTCATGTATGTGTTGCTCTTATTTTCACATTCTTCCAAACTTCATTGAACATATGATACATGGTAACAACATATTGTGAAATTTATGTATGATGAGCACAGTAGAGGAGCTAGGAAGAAATAAATGCAAGTATAATGCTCCAAATTCATATACAGGATGTGGCACATTACTACTTCCAACATTTCAGTTTCAGGGAAACTGAAAGCAAAAGATGAATACTACAAACAGAAAGGAACAATTAAGAAATTATGATTAATAAGCCAAGAAATGACTCTTACCATGCAAAAACACAAAATGGGCTAAATATAGCATGAATGTGGTTCAATTTACCTACTTTTAAATTTTTTAATGCTTTTTAATGTATGCATTAAAAATCGAGTATATTGGTGGGGTTCCATGTGATGTTTTTATTCACATATCCATTAAAAATGTTTAGACTCATTGAATCATATTTATCTCAAGTAGTTGTCACCTTTATACGGTGAAAACTTTCAAGATCCATTGTAGTGTTTCCAGAAGCACAATATACTATTGTTAATACTGTGCTATAGCACATGGGAACTTCTTGCTAGTCTCTATAACTCAGGACATTCTGATTTGACATTTTCCCACTCCCATTTGACTTCCATTTCCCTCAGTATTTGGTAGTCATTATTATGTTCTCAGTTGTCATAAGATCATCTTTTATATTTCATATATGAGTGAAACCATTCAATAGGTGTTTTTCTGCATCACAACCAATTTGTCACGAGAATTTACAAATATTTGTAATGTGTTTCTTCTCAAGAAGTACATTGGCTGATGAGTCATCATCATAGTTGGATAATGGATGCGTTCTAGTACAATAATCTGCAACTTTATTTACTCAAATAGTTAACTATAAATAGAATGTTTTACTTGTAAACAACATAAAACTGTCTCAATTCATTTTTGCCCCACAAAAGTTGCTCGTCTATGAACATTTATTTAATATTGTATTTATGGAGCAAGACATCACATGATGCTGTAACAAGTAATTGTAATGTAAAGAAATTAAGTATAATTATTTGTTGAAATGATGTACTTTAGTGACTTGCATTAAAAAAGTATGAACAGTTGCTTTACTAAATCAGTTCAACTGACAGCATCAGGCAACATACTTTTAAAATATTAGCTAGCCTAATTTCAAAAAGGACCATTAACTGATCACTTAAAACATCATTAACTTCATCATTTACGGAGTGTAACGCACACTCAAATTGGAGAGGAGTAATAGATTTTAAAATAATTTCTCATTGCTTTCTTACAAATATTTGTCACTCTCCTGATAAAATATTAGTGTATATTTACATACAAATATACTCAAGAAAAATAACAATTATCAATAAAATTTTACAACTTCATTAAGTATAGTCAAACATAATTGACTGAACATTTATAAAAAAATAAAGTTCAGAATCTAAATTTTCCTGTGCCATATAATAATTTTATTATCTATTAAAATACTGGTTCTCAACCTTCCTAATACTGCAGCACTTTAATACAGTTCCCCAGGTTGTGACAACCATCAATCATAAAATCATTAGTTTGCAACAGTTATTTCATAACTGTAATTTTGCTACTGTTATTAATCATGATATAAACATCTGATATGCATGATATTTGATATGTGACTCCCAACAGGGGCATGCCCCACAAGTTGAGAACCATCATGTTAAACAATAAAAGATTTTGGATTCCATTGAGTGAACACTTTCCTTCTCACCTTGATGTTTCTTAACTTGAAACACTGTCTTCAATTCTTGATAGAGAGACCCATAGACCTCACCCCATTTCTAATTTTCATATAAAATATTATTATCAACATGTTCTTCACCAATAAAATTGTTTTTATATTTACTTGCTTTTTATGCTGAAGCAATCTGTAAATTCCCAAACAAATTATCATGTTCAGTTTAAATAAATTTGTAATATATCATTGGTTAAATTATATATGGGGCTTCTTTAACTCTTGGGCAAAATATAAAGTATAGTAAATGTTCAGTGTGATACACAGTAGTAGTGTGACAGCAGCAGTACTTCCAGTAGTAGAGATACCATATTCAGGGTCAGTTAGAGGAATAAAAATATCTTTTCAGAAGCTGAAAGAACTGTTAACTTGAAAAGAAACCCACTCCAAGAATGAGACAGAAATGGCAATAGATAAGATTACTGGTTCAGCAGGAAAATCAGGTTCATTGTTTTCTGCCTGACTTGTCATTTTTGCAGGTGGAAGCAGTGGCTCATCTCCAGTGACCTCTAGTGGAGGAGCCCCCTCTCCTTTGAACTCCTTACTTTCTCCATCTTGTTCTCCACCTACGGTTTACATACCTCCAAGCTCCTTTGCAATGACCTATCCAGATACATACCTGCACAGTGTCAACGTACCCTTCTACTATAGAATTTGTCCGACTAATTATTGGCGACCACAACCTTTTGTCTTATCTACTCCTGAAAGGCTACCAATCTTCAGCAGTTCTCAGACCTTACCCCAACTCATGATGGAAGTCCCCGTGGTGTCCTCCAGGAGCATCATTAATCCAAATAGTGGCTTACATGAAGACTGCAATGGGCAGTGTCTACAAGCATCTCATTCTGCCAATCAAATGTTATATGGAATACAGAATCCTGGAAACATTTTCCATCCAAATCCCATTGCCCAAGAAGCAATCAGTTGTCCTTTTCATCCTCCCAATGGCTATTACAGGTATAACATCTCCATGCCACCTCGACTGGAAAATGTTGTCAGTCACTTCAGTGAAAATGGTACCAGTCAGATTTCTTTTACTGAAGGTAGCTGTGGTCATTCTCATTGGTATCCAGCCATCAACCATTACCTTTAATGGGACAACATCCACGTTTTAAGACATTTACATGTAAGCATCTATTTTATTTTTAACAAAAGAAAGAACATTTCTTAAAAACTTTCTTACCAAAAAGCATTGCTTTCTTTTGTTTATAACGTAATTTAACAAACGTTTACAAGAATGTCTATATAATGTCATCTGTGACCTAATATTAGAAAATGGCATTATAATAACCTTGGTCCTCAAATAAGTTACTTAATAAATACTGTTTGATAAGATATGCCATCAGTGATAATTAATTCCAGAAGGTTAAGTCTTCAATGGCGACATTGTTAACTCACTATACATCTGTGTTTTACCAGTTAACTAAGGCAACAAAAGAATTGGATATAGTTCATGTAAAAACAATAAAAGTATTTCACTCTTATCTATGAAGATTGGCTACACTATAAACATCTATCAAGCAATTATGGCAAAAATTGAATTTGCTTGATTTATATTTTGCTGTTGAAAGGAATAGTAATTATAGATTTAAGGTGTAGATAGTTGCCAAGCATTGTTTTCCATTAATCTGTGTAGCTTGAATAATATTTAATAATGAAGGAATGCAAAGATCACTTTAAAACTATCTGATAGCTTATATGTGATTACTTCATTAAGTGACAAGTTATTTAACTGAAAATTAAATGACATCTCTGAGTTATTCTGTAATTGTTATATTAGGAAAGACATTAATTTTATAGTTATTGCAGGATATATATATATATGTATATATATGTGTATGTGTGTATGTATATGTGTATATATACATGTATGCATATATGTATATATACATACATATATACATACATATATATATTCATATTTATATACATATATATTGAATAACAGATAATTTTGTTATGTGTCACAAGCATAAATCTAAGCACATGTAATTATACTAGTAATAGTAATTAATAGAAAGAAACAACATTTTAAATGCTACAACTTTGGTATTTATCTTATTTTACTTTGTAAATAGTTCAAAAACTGTCCTTTCACATTTTTAATTACATTAAACAAGGGAAAGTTTTCATACAAAATTAGACTTGGAAGAAACCTGAATCAAGTAGCCCATTTTTCTTAAACTAAGGTGTCAATTGGCCCAGGTCTGTTAACACCACTAACTCATGCACATAACTATTTAATGCTGAAACAGATGACATGAATCTCAAGAAAGTTGATACATTGTAACTAGGGTTATGAAAAAAACTATCTGTCCATATCAAACTGCCTTGCTTTAAAAACTTTCAAAAGCATCTGGTTAGACACAGTGTGAAATTGTTAGTACTTACGTAAAAGTATCCACATGATACTGTATAAGTGACAAATTCTAGTAATTAAAACATCATTTCTACCTGGTTGGAAAACAAATATATATGTATTCCTCTCTTCATTTGAAAAAAAAAATCAGTCTACATTTAGATATCTGGTTTTTAACTTGCCCTGGTATGTGATATCCTCCAAATAAACCTAGAGAAAATAAATCTTGTGTCATATTTTTTAATTTGCACATTGAGTCAGGAAATAAGTGAATGATATTTTATCCTTGTAGAGCTCTCAGTCAAGCTTAGACCTGTAGTCAAATTCCCTGGTCAGGAAAGGGTTTTGTGGAACAGTCAATCAAGCTGAAATCAATGACAAAAGTTGAGCTTGGTTGAAGGTCTAAGCAGACAGATTGTTTTATTACATTTTAAACATCAATACAAGACTTTATGGAACAGAATTTAGAACATTCAGTATAGGGTGCCTAAACTATATGGATATTGTATTTTTGAAGAGTAAAGTATAACTTTATAACATTTTAGGTTACATACTTTTAGAATTTTCAATTAATGTTATTACTTTTATTTAGTGTGCTTTGAAAATGAAGATGCTTCTTTAAAACTCCCAAGCTGTGAAGAGATGGATGGTTCACACTGTTGTCAGGCATGAGTTCTCCATATGGTCTGAAGATGGACATGATTTCATTTTTTTTTTTGTGAAATTGAAGTATGTTTGTGGCAGGAAAAGGAATGAACTCTTAGTCTAAGCAAGTAATAACTCAATGGATAATCAGTCTTTGAACTAGCAGTATCTTATGTGCTAACAGCATGACACAGGTACCAACAATACATAAAGACAAGCATCTGCACTGGACACAATGGAAGGCTCTTCTTAAATTCTCCTAATCATTTTTATTTTGCACCTTGGGGAAATCATGGCACACAAAACAGTTACAAATGTAGCTTTTAAATATTACTGATGTGCCAGTCAGTTTTGTGGCTGAACCAGAATGTAGCTGAAATAAGTGTGTTGTATAAAAACTGACATATATTTTGCAAAAATTTATATGCATGCTAACAACAAATTAAGTATGTTTGATATAACATAACTGTAGATATATATCATGTATAAAGTGGGACATTTTTTACATTGTTGTCTCCTAATTTAATATTGCTAATAAGTTTTTAACATATGTATATAGTTTTTTAAATTAAAGATATCACTCTAATATGTGTAGATACCCACACAATGTGTGTGTGTTCTCCAATGGGATATTTACTTTTCTTTACAAAAAATTTACACTGTGCTTTTTCTCCCACTCCTAAAGAGAAATGCTGTATAGAAAATTTACTCATGAGATACTGACATACACTACCCACTATGTATACTTATGTGGAGAGGCATATTTAAATATATTTAGAAATATCTAATTGCATATACTGTACTTTGAGAATTGAATTGACAGGGTAGAAGTACAATGCTTTATATTCCAATTTAAAAATATGTTGCTGCCTTTCTACTGAAAAATATTAAACCAGCCAAAATAACAATGATATTCTAGTATGTACCAACAGTTGCTTTGATATAACTACCTTGGTATATATTTAATCTTCTTAGATTTGATCTGCAATTAAATAATATTTTGTATTAAAACTATATAAATAAATATGGTTTGGATGGCAACATAAAAGAGAAGGAAGAGATAACACAGAACATTTGAAACATACCCCACATGTAAAACTATTTACATAAGTGAGGCTGGCCAAATTTAACATGTTGTTTCAATAAAATATTGAGAGTAAAACGATGAGTATTATTTCCTCTCAAAGTTTCAAATGTTCGTGTTTACAAATTTGTCCTGCACATTAATATGTAAACATACATTATGGTGAGCAGATGTACAGGAAAATGTTATCGTATCTTTGTATTTAGTTGAAATGCATATACATCTTTATTGGCTCACTTTTAACTGCTTAAAAGAGTTACAACAGTTAAAGTTAAATGTGATAGAAAATTCTGAAAGTATAATGCAATGCATTGTAGCATTAAACACTTTAGTCAAATATTATATTGTTATTGTTTAACATAAAAGAGTTTTGATTTTGATTTAATATCACATTCTTATGAACATGATGATATAATGTAATATTTTAGCTATAAAATCCATAATTAACAATTAGAATCTTACTAATGTGAAAAGGAATAAAATCATGATCTTATGTTAGACAAAATTTGATGTCAATGTTTTTATTTAAATATATAATTTAATTTTTTCCCTTTTACAGCCATGTTTTAATGTAGTGCTTTAGTACTTACCTTTATTTAAATTTTCCTTGAAAACTTCATATTTACTTCATAAAATAAAAATGTTGTGACTTCTAGTCACTTAAATTAATTCACTAGTTTTCTGCCTTGTTGAATTTTATATATTCTTGGAAAGAATGTTGTCATAGAAACAACACATACACACATACACACACATATATAGATCTTGCTTTGAAAGAGGCAAGAAAAATCAATGTTGAAATTCAAAATTTAGCACCCTCTCAAAAACTGTATTTTAATTGACAGAGAAAACTGTTCGGCAAAAGCATCATTATTTTGTGATCTTTCATGAATAGTGATTCTTTTAATTTATTTATTTATTCTTCTCTCATTTATTAGATTCCAACTGCAATTTCCCCTTCCTCCACTTCTCCCAGTTCCTTTCCCAATTCTTTCACTCCCAGATCCACTCCTCCTTCATTTCCCTTCAAAAAAGAGCAAACTTCCTGAGCTATCAACTGAATGTGGCATAACAAGCTACAGTAAGCACATACCTAATATTAAGGCTGCATGAGACAACCCAGTAGAAGGCAAAGAATCACAAAAACATGCAAAAGAGTCAGAGATAGCCCTTGCTTCCTGTTAGGATTTCCACGAAAAGAGTAAGCTACACAACTCTAACAAAAATGCAGAAGACCTACTTCAGTCCCATGCAAGCTCCCTGGAGTCTCAGAAGATCTAGGTTAGGCCCGTGCAGGCTTCCAGGTTGTCAGTTCAGTATCTGTGAGCTCCTATGAAGCTAGGTTGGTTGATTCTGCCGGTTTTCTTGTGGTGTCTGACTCCTCTGGCTCCTACAATCTTTCTTCCCCCTCTTCCATAGGATTACCCAAGCTCTGTCTAATGCTTGATATGAGTCTCTGCATGTTTCCATCCATTGATGGATGAAGTCTCTCTGAGGAGAATGGACTAGACACTAATTTATGAGTGTAGCAAAATATCATTAGGAATTATTTCATTGATTTTTTTTCCCCATTAGTATTTGATTCTATTGTGGGTCTCAGGTTGTCCAGCTACTGGTTCTGGCCCTCCAGGCTGTGTCAGGGGTAAGGTACTTCTCATGTCACAATTTCTGTACTACTTTTACCACAGGAAGCTTGCATACAAGTCAAATTGTACATCAAAGGTTTTGTGCCTAGGTTGGTGTCCCAGCACCTCCACTGGAAGTCTACCCTGGTTACAGGAGATGACTAGTTCAGGCTTCATATCCCACATTACTAGTGAGGAAAGGCTGAATGAATGCAGTGTTACAGAAGGATCTGTGGGCCCAAGTTCCACACATATGAGATTAAGGTCAATTAATCTGATGTTTGCACTCAAATGTTATCACCTAGTTCAGCTGATGTGAGGAAGTAAGACAGTTGCCTTGGTGCTGGGCTGTACAATGGGTAGTGAGTATAACCACCTCAACTTTGCTAACAAGGGGCTCAGACTACACAAAC